CTATATCTAAGTTTAAAATTCTGCATTACAGTATATATACAGGAGTTGGAATTCAAAGAGTTACTTTAGGCTTGGGCATGTCTGATGAGCTTTTGGCTTTTTTATTTAACCAATAATCCTCAGTGCCATTTTGCAAACTTGCCTTGAAAGTTATCTCAGTTTCAAGCGTTTTTGTGTGACCTGAAGCCCCCAAAGCACCCTTGATCTTACAGAACTGGTTATGCAATTTTTTGAATACTGGCTGCAAAGGCTTTAGTTTACAAGTTTAAAACCCTAGTGGATTCCCTACAAGCTGAACTATGTGTATGTTGGTATGAAGTATAAAACTTATCAGAGTTTATACGATAGTTTTGCTTTTAATCATATGTTTGAGTTCGATCGGCATATTTCTGAGTACATAAGGGAACATCCTGAATTCACTGCACTGCTTGCTTCCTCTTTATACAGAGTCCGTGAGAGAAAGCTCTTGCCACATCCTGAATTGCCAAAACAGTTCCAGCTGAACAACACTGGGAAATTAGGCATGTCAGACGCCGCCACTGTTCCAGTCAAACAGCGTTTGGTTTGGGACAAACTAGGCAATGATGAGCAACTGGAAAATCAGTCACCAGCATTAGAGGAAGAAGAGGGGGCGAAACGTAAGCCGGAACCGGAAGAGATCGAAGAACTGGAAGAAAACGATAAGGATGCCAATACCGCCCAGCAAGTGTAAATATCTAAAATTATGTTTCAAATCAACGTCATTCAGTTATGACAATTACACACAATGTCTGTTAAGTAGGGCAATGACAGTTTCACTATGTAATGGGGAAATCAAATCGATGTACATGAATGAGGTTAGAAATTACTATTTCAGTTTGAACTAGGTTTTTTTTTTGTTCTTACTAATTAGCCACAGGATACATTTCAAGCATCACTATTCATTCAGAAACTGTTGGTTGCCACTTGTTGCTAATCCTGAATTGCACGACTTGCAATAAACCATGGTTTTCCTGTTTGGATGCAGTGATGAGCTAATTAAGCATAGTACTCCAGGGGATGGTGTGGTGGGAGCACATGAGTACAAGGCTTGTTCATGTAATGCCATGCCATGTTTTGAAGTTGTATCAAGAAAGAATGATTAACCTCCTGCTGGATTATTTTACTCATATTGCAAATTGGGAATTGCTCTAAAAACCATGCTGAAAGTTACTTTCCATGTTAGTTTTTTTCCTCCTTATGGGAAGCAGCTGGAAAATGGCTGACAATGCATGACTTGGTAACATGAGAATCATGAGATAATTGTTTAGAGATGCAGCTGGTGACGTTCTTCAAAGCATATTAAATATGAAAGCATCATTTATTTATTTTTAAAGTATGTGCTCACTCTTTGATATTGATAAAGATCACAAATGGGAAAAGTTAACAAGGTAGATCCAACTTCATTTGCTGGTGTACAAATATGAAATGAAATGAATTTTATTACGGTCCCAGACCAGTTTTGATGTACAAATATAACTAGGAGCATAATGACTGTTTTGTGGTGATACTAAGACAGGACACATTCTTAATATAGAGAAGAACAGGAAAACTAGGTAGAAAACCAGTATTACTGGGGGTCGAAGTTGCACTAAAGATAACACTATGGGGGCCATAATGGTGAAAGAGAGGAGGCTTTTTGGAAATCTGTGAGGCCAGTGAATAATGGGTGTAAGACAGCCATTAATAATTTAGATTGGATAAAAAGAATGATTCTGTCTATTGGACCGATTGTGTAAAATTCCTAAGCAGTCTACCTAGAATATTTGTGGGAACCAACCAAACCCACAGAAATGAAGATATAACTGTATATTTTGAAGGCTCTCTTGTGGTTTTCATTCTCTCTTGCTCATGGCCTATATAATATGTAGAACTTTCCCTGGGGAGAGCAAAAAAAAAAAAGATTCTTCAATTTATTATTAATGGGCCACCCAATAAATTAGAGGATACACTTCTTTACCATGTGTATATTTGTATGTTTTGTCATATCTTGTCAGAAGAAGAAAACATGAATTCTCCAGGTGATATGGCAGAGTCTTCTTTGGTATTCCTCACAGAGGGTGGCAGGCTTCCTACCCCACAGCTAAGGGCACTTGGTGGAGCCCAAAGAACACATCATGACCTTACAACACCCAGCTGCTGGTAACAATTTAATGATTCATAGATATAGATACAGTATTAAAGACAGAGACATATATATAGACCCACCCACCCACCCACACCCCTTAAATATAAAAAGAACACAAAGCAATTTATTTCTGGAAATTCAGCATTAACAATAGTGTGTTCTTTTATTCCTGTAGGAGGTGCTGTTTTAGTATCTCCTCCAAAAGTGAAGTCTTCACCCTCGCTGCATGTGAGGCAGGGGTCTTCAGAAAAGCATGCCTTGGCAAGTCAAATCTCAAGGGAAGACTTGAAAAGAACATCTAACAGGGTGGTACGTTTTGCTTAAAATTTGCTTAGAATTACCATTTGTTTTCACTTTCTTTGTTTTCACGTCTACTGAATAAAAATGACAAATTATCTAGTGTTATCTGTTGAAGACCGTGAAGCAGTTATAGTTTTATCAAACAAATGTCATGGAAGTAACTGGGGAAATAATAGACTATGTATTCCAATTGCTAAACATTGCACAGATATGCCCTAACCCCTGATGGAGTGTTTTAATGCATGGTTTAGACTGAAAGCACTTCCTATCAGCCCCTCCTCAGAGGCTCTGAGATTTGGAGAACCCTTTTCTTTCCACTATGCTTGAGGTGTGGAAGAGGAATCAGGGGTACCTCTACTACACCCTTTCCTGGATCACCCAGGGTCTACCTGCCTGGGACATTATAACCAATTTCATACGTGGGAGGAGGCTGGTAACTCAAGAGAGGGGGATCTATTTGAGAGGGAGCCCCTGAGGCCCCCAAATCAGCTTATGACGCTGTTCCTGATCCTAAAATCCTAAAAAAACATTGACTAACAGTGCTATAGGCCTGTAGCTATGCAAAGCAAATGGCCTTCCCTGATTGACAGCCTTTGAAAATGAGTGGCAGCGATACATTATCTGCAGGAATGGGCCGGTCTGAGATTTGTATTAGATGCTATTGAATGCAGTTTCCAAAGTTTATGTGCTAAACAGGACAAGCTCAGCGTCGGTGAAGCAAGCCTATCTGAAACTAATTCACCACTGGTACCTCACTCTGGTGAAATTTAAGTCGTAGTAAACTATCCCTATCACTTGATGGTTGGAGATGGATGCTCGGAATGAGGCTCCTACCTCCACTTATGCGATTCAATCTTTGATCATTTCTAAAATGACTAACTAAAGGTAAAGGTAAAGGGACCCCTGACCATTATGTCCAGTCGTGACCGACTCTGGGGTTGTGGCGCTCATCTCGCTTTATTGGCCGAGGTAGCCTGCGTACAGCTTCTGGGTCATGTGGCCAGCATGACTAAGCCGCTTCTGGTGAACCAGAGCAGCACACGGAAACGCCGTTTACCTTCCCGCCGGAGCGGTACCTATTTATCTACTTGCCCTTTGACGTCACCCGTGTCCCTCTAAAAATGACTGACTAGATGCTCTCAACAGCAGTCCCTTCAGCTCTTTCCCCCTCTATTTTCACTGGCCCAAAACTCCTCCATACACAGCTATTAACCTGCATTTATGCACTCATGAATCTAGTTTGAGGGACTCGTGTGTGCAGAAGTGATCAGTTAAATGTGACATTCATTTAAAGTAACTTCAATGTCTGCAGCCAGACATAGCTAACTAAGTGGAAAAGGACAGTCTTGTTCATTTCCTGTGAACAGCATTGGCATAGTTTTTCACAACGTGACAGGGTCTTTTTTCAACTCTGTCTTTTCAGGATGACAAGGATACGCCACTGAGTCCTTCCCCAGCTGCTGGGCTGAAAACTGTGGATCCTTTGCCTCTGAGGAAAGATCAATGGTGCAGCCGAGAATCGTCAGGTGCAAGAAGCTCTCCAGCTTCAGCATATTCAGGGCAGACAACAAAAGTTCCTGGCTTAAAATCAGCCAAGGATGCTTCTTTGCCCTATTGGAGTCCATCGTGCCGCATTCAAGGAATGCTTAGGGATCCTGAGTTTCAGCATAACGGTTGGCTTACTTTCTACACAATTTTGGACCTTTTTTAGAATGGCTTTAAATAAGAGCTTCTGGGTCTTGGCAGGAGCAGCAATAGAAACTCTTCATTTCTGTGAATCTGTACATTGAAAAATACCCAAGTATCTCCTATTACTCTGCAATGTGAACCCACACTGAAAAACCGAAACAGCCAAAAGTAGACAGCTCCCTTAAGCATGCAGAAACTTTCTATTAAATACGTTTCTCAACATATTTATATATCATCCACTGATAGAAAATATTAAAGCAGTGTATATGTTGAGAGTAATGCAAGCTGAACGCCTAATGTGCATAACAACTGGCTGTCATGCATACTCATCAGGCCACTTGATGGCATTGGACCCAATTTGGGCTCAAGCCTGACACAGGGATTTGCCTGGCCCCTCACACCTCTTGCCCCATTTGGTTTGAGCAGCGGGGCTGCAAATGCATCCCTGGCCCTACTATTCTGTTAGACTGTGATGCCCCCTGGCAGGGTTTGGATTACGCATATAGCCTGTGTTTCTGACTTGGCAGTATCTGTTCCTAGAGCCTTGAAAAGGCTATATCAATGGAAGCAGGAACATGCATCCTTTTCCCCAGCAGGACCTGAATTCTCTTGGAGGAGATCTGCCAGCAGTGGGGTGGGACCACAGATAGTTCACGCTCTTTCTGTTCCAGCCCTCTTTTCCCTGCTGGGTAACCCTTCCTCAGCTGGTTAACTCTTCCCTGTCTGCAGTTCTGATGATGATTCACCCCATGGTTGCTATTATATTCAGGAGTGTGGAAAGAACAGGGGTAGCTTACAGCTTTGCTCTTCCTGCAATCCCTGCTTTTGCTGCTCATTTGACTAGGGAACAGCTGAGAAGTGAAAGGAGGCTGAGCTGCAGAAAAAAAGTTGATCTTTATCTGGAGGTCTGCCCCTTCCTCTTCTGCTTGACTGATCAGTGGGAGGGTATGTTGGGGGGCCACAAAGGATTAGGCAGTGGCCCAGAAGCAGTCCGCGGGGGTGCAGATTTCACACTTCTGAACTAGAGAAAGAAAGAAAAAGGCATGTTTCTTGAAGACTATTTATACTAAGTGGAGAATGTGCATATTGCGCGGGAAGTGTAAAAGATTTGGTTGAGAGACCCACATTCCCCAAGGCCTGTTGGAGATTATGTATATTTACTTGGAAATGTGTACAGTTGATTCTTCATGCACAGATTTATGTGCATATTCTCCATGAAGTCTGATGAATGCAGATGATGGCTGGCTGTTATGCACACTAACCACTCGATTTGCACCACCTCGACCTATACAAATACAATAAAACAATGCAAAAATGACTGGGTCATCTTGAAAAACTTTTGAGACAACCAAATAGGCCCGTTGGCATAAAAAAAGAGTCTTGGATATCTTGGATGTTGGAAGGGTAGCTACAGGGATACCTGCTAACTAAAACAAATAGGATTGAAATGGAGGCAGTGACAAATCATGGATGAAGATAGATTATGAGATTCAGTAGACTGTTGTAGCAGCTTTCTTTTCAAACAGTTCACACTGAGAGAATACAGTTGGACTACATAACCCCTACCAACTCCATATGTCTATGATTCTATGTACAATATGGATATTTTTCTTTACATCTCAACACTAATCTGAAGGAGTTAATATTTTGGGGGAATGCTTTGTTGACCAACATTGTTGAAGAACGTTGACTGTACATTAGTGCTGTATTTTTCTGTGTATAAGACGCCCCCTATTTTTTTAACCCAAAATTAAGTTGTTTAGCTTTTTGGGGGGATGGGGGAGGTCACTTCCACCAACTGCTCACTTGCCTGCCTGCCACTGCCAATCACTTGCCACAGCCACTTCTGATTGCATACCTCTCCACAGCCGCCAATTGTCTGCCCGCTCGCTGCCACCAACAGCCCACCCACCCACTTGCCGCAGCCGCCATCGCTTGCCCGCCTCTCCACAGCCACCAGTTACCTGCCCAGTTGCCGCAGCCACAGCCAGTCACCAGCAGGCCTTGCCACAGCCACCAATCATCCACCCAATCGCTGCTGCTAATCTCTTGCCTGCTGCTGGCGTTAATCGCACGTTCCCCCTCTGCATTCACGATCCATGTATAAGACGACACCCAATTTGTGCCTGTTTTTTTTAGCAGAAAGCGTCGTCTTATACACGGAAAAATATAGTATATTGGCTTTCCCATGAGGAGGTAAAGTATTTGTGGACTGGAGAAATGCAATGTTGTGTGCTGTTTCTTTTTAGGTGGTGTTGCAAGCCCTAAAAGGAGCTGGATGCAATTACCACTTCAGGAGAGAAACTATAATGATGAAGGTATTTCTCCTCTTTTATCCATGTTAAATATAACTAGAGCCGTTAATAATATTTAGGCATTTATTATTAATGTAGTCATTAATAACAACAACACATAATTCTGTACAGTATTTCAGTTTCCCCTCCTCCCCCCCCCAGTAGGAACTATGAAAGCTGTTGTAAAAATAGATATTTCATACTAATTCATGCTAATGGAAACTTTAAAAGTGTGTATAAATATATAACCAGTCTCTCTCTCTCTCTCTCTCTCTCTCTCTCTCTCTCTCTCTCTCTGACACACACACACGTGTATGAATATGAGAATGTATATGCATGTGTTATGCAGTGAACTGTTCTGTTTGTGACGAATATAGAATCCCATGGCTTGATTTTAGTTCAGTGGAACCTTGGTTGTTGAACATAATCTGTTCCGGAAGAGCGTTCGACTTCCGAAATGTTCAGCAACTGAGGTGCAATTGCTGGTAGGCAAAATCCATTGAAAAAAATGGAGAAACATGCCTCAGAAGCTGTTTGACTTCCGAGGCGTGTTTGAAAACGGAAGCATTCACTTCTGGGTTGTTGGCATTCTAAAGCTGAAACATTCAACTTCCGAAGCATTCGACAACCAAGGTTCCACTGCATGTCTTCCCACTGACTATGTTTGGATGTAGTGTTAACTGTGGTTGAGAGCTACAAGAGCAGTCCTGAGTGAGCCTTGGCTCTGTGCACTCTCCTCAGGCCATGGTGGAGGAGGTCATAAATATGCCATACTATGCTAAACTGTGGTTAACATTAATCATGGTCAGTAGAAACAAGCCTGCTTCATTAAGTATGGTTTGAAGTTGGCTTGTTTCAATGCACAGTATTCAGTATTCACCACAATTAAGTGTTACATCTGAATAAAGCTGTTGTGTAGACCTCTGTAGCCATTCCAACCCTATACAATTCCAAGATCATAAGTACATGGGGAAAGAATTTTAGTATGCCCTGATTTATTAACTCCATTGGAACTTGAAGACTACAAAACCTAACACCATGTCTGCTACCCGTAGTAGTCCCTTAGCAGCCTTACCATCCCTTGTCTGTGCATAGCATCTTAGATTTGGTTTCGGTTTTGCCTCTAATCATTCTTCTTCATTGCATTGTTCTCTTGGGACGACAAAGCACATATTTGATCAAATATTTTCAAACTCTACGATCTCCCTAAATGCACCTTTTAGATTTGAACTGCAAATAAGATCAAGGGAGTGTTTGACTGGAATTATGATGCTAACTACCATCTAGGGCCTAGGACAAGGAGAGAGTAGGGTCATTCAGGTCTCCACTGAATTTCTTAAGGATCATTATGTATCAATCCCAGGCAAACAAAAAGTGGATAAATAGAGGAGACCACAGGCTAAATCACACAATTATTTCTGAGACAGTGAAACCTGTACAAAATAATGATGCTACATAGTTTTCAAATGGGGAACTGTTGGTGAGAAACGGCCCTCACAACCACATAAAAAGAAATACTCAGTTTTCTTTCCACCTCTGTAGCTTGGCAGCTTTTGATGTAGGGTCATGACTTGCACACACACACAAAAAAAAACATCCCCGAGGTGGAAAAATCTGTGTTCATTGGTTTTAGCACCTCTGAATTAATGTGTGAATCATCTCTAACACTTGCCATTAAAGAGGAATTGTTTAGCTTGCAATGCCCCATTGCACAGACTGAGACGGGAGATGCTTGGAAGTACTTGTTCAGAATTAATGGCTGCATATGCAAATATCATAGAAACTGCGGCACCTTCTGAGTAAGGTCCACCTGATACTTGGCTCTTTTAGCAGCTTTCAGTAATAGCTAAGACTGAAAAGTGTGTGGGCTGTGCAGATTGCTCAGCAAAGCAACTATAAATGTTTACAGAAAGCCTCTAAAGTCAACCAGGTCTTCAGCAATGCCCTGCCGTCTCATCACTCTTCTTGAGATGACAGATCGTTGCCAAACAGTTGCTCTGCTACTGAAAACAAATGATTAGCAGCAGAAAAACTAGTATCTGAAATTTTATCTAATTTTAAATGCACACATTTACTGTGTAATGCTTAGGTGCTGAGTCTTGGCACCTCTTTTATGGTAGTTTCAGGAAAGGAACTATAGTGATGGAAGTAGTCTGTAATTTTTCTTGCATACAGTGTTTTTGAACATTTCGCAGGCAAGCGCTTTCAGAAACTTAGTACCACAAAACTAGCATATAAAGACAAACCAGGCAGCTGCTCTTTCAACAGCTTTCCAGTTTGGTCTCTTGCGATTATGGCAGGCAAAACTCTTGACGATGTTGTATTACAAAAATTGTGACTTGGTAGAAACTCTTAATTTTGTGTGGATTTGAGCAATGTATGGTTCATGGGTAAGTATGTCCATCTATCAGTTCATGCTCCATGCAGCAGGATTGCTTTGCTCTCCTTATGTGCAGTGCATAAGTTACATGGTAGCCAGAGGCTACTCAGAGTGCACATTGGAAGCGATGCATGAATCAAGAGTGTACCTCAGAATTCTTTGCAGTGTTGCATAAGATGCTGTGGCATGCCTCTTGGCTCATGCTTTGATTTCCTGGAACTGGGGTGCAAGCAATATTTTCCACCGTAGAGGCTTCCGTAGCTTCAGTCCCCTTGTGTGTGCTGTTGCTACATCTGTATCTTCTTACAGCTAAGTTCACCCCACGCAGTATGGTCAAAAGTGTGGCCCATGTTAACTGTCAATGAAAGTAAAATGGTATTTCCACTGGACTGAGTTTGCACCAGTACAAGAAAGCATACTTTGGAATCACATGTGTTCATTTATGCTTTTGGTCCTTTCAGAAATAAAATACAGCACCTCTAGTTTCAATAGTAATAGGTTGTTCTTAAAAAGTATAATTGTGTTGTTGTTTTTTAAAGTACCATACAGTTCAGGAAGCTTTGAAGGTGTGCCTTGTGTCATAATTTTAAAAACCAATCTAAATCTGGCTTCACTATATACTCCTAATTCCCCAGTGTAGAAAATAATTATATGTTTGTTGGTAAGTTTGTGTTAACCTTACAGCTCCTAAAGAGGACAATGTCCATTTTAGCAAGCCCCTAAGCCTATTTTGCTTATCTTGTTACCATGGATCTGATTGGTCCCCCCCCCCTTGTTATGTTTACAGATGATGATGACCGATTGTCCCAGCTATCTGCTCGATCTGCTGCTTCTAGTTCGCTGGCATCTCAGGTTCTGGAACGAGCGCAGAGGAGAAAGGAGAACTTCTGGGGCAAAATGTGATTGTGTTCAGCTATACTCCTGAATTGTTTTGGTATTTTAATACCAATTTGTGGAAATTATTTGAGGCTGAATTCTGGTTGTTTGCACTTACCACTTTGGTAAAAGGGTCCCATATAGGAAATGCTGGATATTCACATCCCCTTATCTTGGATAGGACAGGGATAGATGACCTGTGATCCTTTGGGAGTTTTTGCATGACAGCTCCACTCTGGTCATTGGCCGCACTGGCTGGGACTGATGAGAGCTTAGAGTCCAGCAACATCTAGAGGTCACAGGCAAGGTTCCTGCTGGCATGGGTTCTGGGAATGCACAACCTGTCTTAGATTTGAGCTCTACCTCATTTGGTCACAAATGTTTTTAGCTAGAGCAGTGTCAGTTTTGTTCAAATGGCATTATAGCAGAGAAGTGTTCATCTTCATCCATCACAAAGAGGAGATCGTCAAGTATTCCCAGTGAAGTAAGAGTAACTAACATGAAGGATGAACCCAGGTGTAGGTTGCCAGCAACCTTCATTGATTCCTGACCTCAGCATTTCTTCATCTCTTCTGGCACTCACTGAGCCCCAAAATCCTTTAATCCCACCCAGCATATTCATATAAATAAGTCAGATTCCTCGTGTCAGATTCATCAGCACTGATCTTTATGCTCCAATGCAGTCTTGGCATTTACCCAAAGCTATTATGGACCTAACATGATTTTTACTTGGTCATGTCTGTGCAGGTTCCAACAGGAATCAATGTAGCTTCTGTGGCTGCCTTGGCAATACCAACCTGAGTCAGTTTTCATTATGAGAGTACCAAGTAAGAGACAACCACAAAAGTTACTCTCATGACCCAACACCACAGCATCCTGTTACTTTGGTTCTGTCCTCAATATACATTCCAGTGTCACTCCCCTTCACCTGTTAGCAGTTTTATCATAAAGACGAAGCTAAATCTCAGTCCCTAATACTCCAGGTAATGAAGCCCATGAGCAGTATCTGAACCGAAGTGTTCTTCAACATTTCACAGAAGGAAAGGTTATTGGCAGTCTATGAGCCAGACAAAGACTTGTTGCCACCCATTCAACTAGCGGTTGTTTGAGTAGTTGTTTAAAAGTAAACTTTAAACAGGCCTCTCACGTGGATTGGGACTGTCATTGGGGACAAAGAGTTAAAGCTGTGCTGCCCCAAACCAATGTCCGGATTGGGGCTCCCACACCTGCAACTTACTTTTTAAAATGATTCATATCATTGCTAATTGTGTGAATAGAATAATGCCTAGTTTGGCCCTAGTTGTATTTAAATCACAGTTGTGTTTCGCTGTCATGATAATTTTCAGGTTTGTACACGTGATCACTGTTAGCCATATTGAGTTTTAAATGTTGTATTTAGATCACCACAGCGGATTCTTCTCAAGACTCAGGGAATTGGAAGGAACTGAACTTGATGACAATGCAATGTTGTCTTGCTGTGCTAGTTCAGAATTATTAGCATTGTAGAAAGATTTTTAAAGCTAAAATGGGTTTATTCTTTCACAGATTAGCCCACAGCATTTTAACATTCAACAGCACTGTTTATAAAGAAGTGATGGAACTTTCATTATTATTTTTAATGTTAGAGTTTTATGATTAAAAAAATTGCTTTTTATGTGTTTTAAAATAAAAATCAAATTGTATATTTGTGTACGTCAGATCCTTAATTAGAAATAACCCTGTTATAACTGGAGATTTCACTTTTGCATGCTTTTACCTATAATTCTGTTTTATTTCCACACTAATTGTGAAAGGTACCTCTCAAAATCCATGCCATAATATTTAAATTAGTATTTTCTCTAAAAATAGCTACATTGTCAGGCTGGAGCCAGCAAGCGAGCAACAGCAGCTGCCAGACTTGGACAGCAGCCCAGGGCATGAAGGGAGAATTGTTAGGGAATGACCAGAGGGAAGTACAGGGGGGAGTTCACAGCCCAGAGAAACACAGGAGTTATCAGACAATGGCTTGCCTGCGCCAGTTTCCAAGCCTCTCAGCATGCAGGAACGCAGGAGAGGAGGGGTACAGGAAAAGGGGAAATTGACATCATAGAAGTCATGGAAGAGATGCATTTTCACACGTTGTTTCCGGAGGAAGAGGAACAACGCTGAGGATTTAGTTGAGTCATCATCAGGGTAGCCATAAGTCACAGGGGCAGAGAGCTCCGGACAAGTGGCATGTTTTTTCTGGAATAAAACCAACTTTTAATTGACTGTACATGTTCGCGTTGCCAACAAAGGTCCGTATAGTTAAAGCCATGGTTTTCCCAGTAGTGATTTATGGAAGTGAGAGCTGGACCATAAAGAAGGCTGATCACCGAAAAATTTATGCTTTTGAATTATAGTGCTGGAGGAGACTCTTGAGAGTCCCATGGACTGCAAGAAGATCAAACCTATCCATTCTTAAGGAAATCAGCCCTGAGTGCTCACTGGAAGGACAGGTCGTGAAGCTGCGGCTCCAGTACTTTGACCACCTCATGAGACGAGAAGACTCCCTGGAAAAGACCCTGATGTTGGGAAAGATTGAGGGCCCAAGGAGAAGGGGACGACAGAGGATGAGTTGGTTGGACAGTGCTCTCAAAGCTACCAGCATGAGTTTGGCCTGGCGTGCTCTGGTCTATGGGGTCATGAAGAGTTGGACACGACTAAATGACTAAACAACAACAACCACATGTTCGCGTCTTGCTGCCGTTACATACATGCATACTTTGAGACTTTTAGATGACTGATGAAGTCAAGATGTGAATCAGGCAATTTCATACAGGAATTTGCAATTATTTAATCATCCCTGATTGTAATTCAGAAAAGACTCACCGAACAGATAAAAATTATTGTTTAAAATAAGTTCAGTTAAACAGAAATCCACTGCTGAAACCATTAATCTAGTCTTTGAAACTAGTGGCAAATGATCGTTTAAAAAGAAATAAATAATGGGTGTGTGTGATGAATCTGGTTAACTAAAGTTGCTGATATTTGGCCAGGACACAAACTCAGTTTTGGGAGGAGGCAAATTTAGCCCAGCCCTGATCACCTGCCCAAATGTGTGATTCATGCTGACCTCTTCCTTTGAGCTAAGGGTGAGGACACAGCAAACACTGAAGAATGGAAAGGTTTACAAAACAGCTATCTTATAGTTCATGGTGAGTCTGATTCCCAACCACCATGACCCTGGCTTGGAACAAGAATAGGAGGATTTCTTCCACACCTTTCACTGAGATATAGAGATGTTTGTAAAATGTCCTTCTGAGGAATGTTGGAGAGTATCAAACAAAATGAAAAGTGCTTGGTTGTGGCCAAGCCTCTCCTCTTCCCAGAGGGGAGGTGTTGTGAGCGGGAACTGTTCCCCCGTCAGCAGGGGGGCGTGTTTGGCCCCCTGCATCATCTCCCCAGCTGCTGCCCCTCCATACAGTGGGCCAGCCAATAGGGTTGGCCTGGGGTGGGGTTTAGCCACATTTAAGTGGCCGCGGTAGCCTCTGTGCCTCGTTCTGCTTCCTGGAAGATGTCGGATCACCTGCCAGCCCACCCTTTAGGCTAGGTTTGTGCTCTTGACCTTGCTATGGACCTTGGTTGGTCACCCTGGTTGCCCAGGGGGCCTGGTAGGAGTTTTTGTCCATTTGGTTAAATTGGCACCAGCCTCATGGTTTTTCACCTACCTCATAGCAATTCGGCACAACTTTTCCTGTTTTGGCGGCTAGGCATTGGAATATGTGTTGTGTGTTGGGGGATGGGGTGTGACCATCACCTATCCTGCCCCATTTTGAGTATTCCATTAAAGGAATCCGGCGGTCATGGATCCTGTCCGATGCCCTGCTGGTGGCTAGGGCCATGGAACGACCCCCAGTGACATCAGGGGAAGCTTCCAGTTGTATTTGCATCAACAAGCTCCTCCCACTGGTTGTTAACCTTCAAATGACCCCCTGCTGCGCAGGTGGGGTCGGATATAGGTTGTTTGATCCAATGCCTCAGCCAATACTGCTCACATGCTGTAACCAATAAAAGATGTGGCCCTTTTCAGCCTATTAACCTAAAATACTTGTGTCTGTGTCCATTATTTCTCCACTACGCAGGTTAGGGTACTTGACTCACAAGCACATTTATAGATCCATGTATATAGTATTAGCAAGAGGAACCTAGAACTCTATAGCCAGGGCCAATAGTAGAGGCATATTTAGGGGAGTGTGCCTGGTTTGGTCACACTGGGTGCAGAGCTTTGGGGTTGCCATAAGGGATGTTGCAACTATGATTTAGAATAGGTTTCAAATTTTACTAGTGTGAAAACTTATTACTGGGGCCTCTGGGTTAGTACTCCTGTCAGAAGACAGAAGACAGGAGTGCCTGGCGTGCTCTGATCCATGGGGTCATGAAGAGTCGGACATGACTAAACGACTAAACAACAACAACAACTGAGTTAGCACATTACTGCACATAAAAAGCAGTTTGAGACTGCTTGGGAAACATCTGGGAGAGGAAGAGCCTTAGGCTGGGATCTTCCGCCTTGCAACTGGGCAAGACCTACCAGGAAGAGCTGCTGACACCACTAGGCTGAGTCGTATGCTTGTTTTCTTGAATAAAGAGTTAACTTTGCTAACAACGGAGATCTGCTTCCTTTATTGCAGGACTCCAGCCCTGACACTATGCACATGAAACCACTTCCTTGGGAAAATAAGAAAATTGGAATCTATCCAAATGTTTCACTTTATCTTTGCAGAGATTCCATTATGGAAGAACTATTTCTCTTTCTTGAAAGGAGTATCCACAGAGGCTACTGCAGTGCCCTAGAGATTGCCCACCTGTATATAGAAGCATTTGAAATTAAAAGACTCTCATAAAACAGGCTATATAGAGTGTTTCTTCCTAACAGATGGGGTGTGTGTGTGTGTGTGTGTGTGTGTGTGTGTGTGTGTATAGGGTCTTGGTTCATTTAAGTGACTTTTTCCAATTATTGGGTGATTAAATACATTTGAAAATAAATAACACACAACACCTTTGTCTTTTGGGGACTTGGCTTCACTGCCTCCAAACAACGAAGCCTCTTTCTTCACAGATTTATACCACCCAAGAGGACAAGATCTCTGAATTTTAACTTGCTTTGTTTTGTTGTGTGCTACTGTGTGTTCAGCTTCATTATGTGGACCAAGTTCAGTGAATAAGATGCCAAAATAAAGCAGGAAATACAGAAATGTCGCTACAACTGAAGTGGCTTTTCTCAATAGTTGAATAAGTAGGTCATTAAATGGCATGGTACAACAACATGAAATCTGCTTGACTGTCATAAATGAAATGCATTGCATGAAGTATAGAATAGACTTTGATACGACCACTGCAGCAATGTGGTCCATGAATCACCCCGGTAAAAATGAGAACATTTCAAATATCAACATTTACTCTCTTCTTCCCGTTGGTACTTGCTTCTACATGAAAATTGATTTTTACAGGTTTCTAAACGTGTCACAGATTATCTATTGGTCATCTACCTTGGTATTGTCTGAACCGGGACAGCTGATGTAATATTCTCCACATGTTGGGCTACAACTCCCATCATCCATGACCATTGGCCATTCTGGGTCAGAGTGCTGGGAGGTTTGAGACCAACTTCTAGAGCCACCATGTCTGTCATCTGGTCTCTACCGATTGGCAGTGACTTCCCAGGGTTTCAGATGGGAGGTTTTTTTTTTGTAGCACTACTTAGAACTTCCTTTACCTTGAACTATGGCTCATTCCCACAACAAAGTGGAAGGATATCAAATACACATAAAATCCTATTACATTCTGATTCTTTGTTCCCATGGGGAAGCTTTTCCCTGTGTACTGGGAGGAGGGAATAAAGGAGGGAGGCAGGAGTAGCAGGCGGTCCCTTTCCAAGGAAGAAGGAGGGCAAGAGAACCCCAGCTGAGCAGAAACATGGGCTCTAGAAAGACACTAAGCAGAGGCGGAATTGGGCAGTGTGACCGGTTGC